CACAGAGGCGCGCAGACGCGCAGCTAGAACACTCATACACACACAGAGACGCCGGGCACAGAGACACACAGAGAGAGAGAGAGAGAGAGAGAGAGAGAGAGAGAGAGAGAGAGAGAGAGAGAGAGAGAGAGAGAGAGAGAGAGAGATAGACCCATGGGAACCACCGCCACCCACGGCCCAGGCAAAACCAACTGATGATCAGCCCAGACCCAACATCCCAGATGAGGCATACGGTGACACTCCACACCTGCAATCACTGCACACGCACTCCCCACCACCACTGCAACCACACACCAACACACACTTGAGAGCACCCACAGAAGAGTTCACGTCGCCGTCGCAGTCGGAGGAGGAAAATTGGGGAGAAGACAAAAGGCCGAGGGGATGGGGGCTACACCGCCAACGACGTCGATTACAAGAAGGGGGCAACATGGATTCCAGGAGAAGACGCACACATGAAGGGGCCAGCAGCGACTAGTCAACTGCACCCCAAAGAGGGTAGAGCAAAGTTCGAGTGCTGGGGGGAAACCTCGCATAGAACCACATATAGAGATTTATTTTGGCCAGGAGCACAGAGGGGGGACTGACTGCCCGATGTCTCCCGGTACCCCCAACTCGTACGGGACTTGGATACACCCCACTCTCAGACAGAAACCCCAACCTGGCATGGCTGCGAAAACCGCAGCCCAGACCGCATGGGACTGGCGCGCCCCTCGGGGCAGCTCCTCCTTCGGGGGGGGCTAAGCGTGTGGAGAGAGAGAGAGAGAGAGAGAGAGAGAGAGAGAGAGAGAGAGAGAGAGAGAGAGAGAGAGAGAGAGAGAGATAGACACACGCACACAGAGAAATTAGACACACAGACGCACCGAAATAGAGAAGCACACGCAGACAAAGACGCACGCACACACACAGAGACAGACAGACACACACACACACACACACACACGGAGATAAGAGAGTAAACTCTCATTGGCTTCCCTGTCCGAAGATCTCATGCATGTTGATGAGAATGAAGTAGTAGGAGTACTAATGCATTCGACACACACACAGACACACACACACACACACACACACACACACTGAGGGCCCACACCCACAGCACTTCAAACGCTGCACTGAGTGTGTATGTTTACTACATGACCAAACCGAAAAAAGGTTGAAGGGAGACAAGGCTGTGCGGTAGTTGAGCTGTTCTTTACGTAGCTGTGCAAACCAAGGCGCCCCAAGGTGCAAGCCATCTGGAGCGTTCGGACTTGAAATTGTTTGAGGACCGAGGATTCCGGGTTTTGAGGGTACATGATGTCACAAGCAGTATAGTGGATACCAGCTGCAACAACTTGCCCAGGTACTCCACGCGCAGGTACGTTTTCCTGC